CGGGTCCGACGAAGCATGGTCGCCGAAAGAAATTTCGACTCTGTCGTCGTGCTTCGTCGGATTGGACAGTGACCTCACGGTTGTTACAGGTCTTCAGATGCTCCTCCCACTTCTTCCGCTTATGTACGTTTGCTAGTTGCCGAATCTTCGCGTTGAGATCCCTAATACGGGGATATCCGGGATCGGCCTGATGAAGGCAGCCGCGCTCATAGGCTAGAACAGCCGCTTCGGCAGGGAAGTTTGGACGTGGGTCCGTTATACATCCTGCCGGTATGAAGCGAGCTGCAGCAGCAGTGACAGCCCTGCGGAACTTACGTTCACCGAGATGGACGTCGGTTGGTGTGGGGAGCGCAGTGAAGGTGTTTTCAGTAAACTCCGCGTAACCTTTCCAATCAGCTTTAGAGAAGTTGGTATAGGTCCGGTGTTTAGCGGAGGCAAAGTCGGTTGGTTTATCTATCGAGATGACTATGGGTAGATGGTCTGATGCTAAAGTCAGCATAGGTCGCCATGTTATGATGTTTATCAGACCAGCGCTGACTATGGTGATGTTTGGCGAGCTGCTGCAGTTACCCATAATCCTGGTGTGTGCGTCGTCGTTCATTGTGCAGAATGTCGAATCGTCTATCTGCTCAGCCAATTCTGTTCCCCTACGATCGTTTGACAGGCTTGAATGCCAAAGATCGTGATGCGCATTAAAGTCACCTACTACCATACGGTTTTCACCTCTGAGGAGCGCACCTATATCAGGGTGATATCCTGCCGGGCAGCAGATGACAGGGGGTATGTATATGTTAAATATTTCGAGCTCAACATCGCCTGACCGGATAGCAATGCCCTGACATTCTTGGGTGGTATCCCTGCGGTCGATGTCTGCTTCGATAAGACGATACTGCACGGTGTGGTGCGTGATGAACGCTAAGCCACCACCATTATCTCGCTCGCGATCTCGACGGTGCACGTTATACCCGGCACAATTCAACAATGTTGAATTGCTGTGCAACTTCGTCTCTTGGACCATAGCTGAGGTATATATACCATGCCGGCACATAAAGACGGTTATCTCCTCAATCTTGCTCTGTAGCCCGTTACAGTTAAATTGAAGGAGCTTCATGTGGTTCGGGAGTCGTGTTGTGATGTGGGGTGTAAGGGATGTGTGTGTTCTTACTGCCGTTGGCTGTGTGCGCTGCTGTGATGGTTGCCGCCCTGTGGTGGTGGCGGGAGGCGTCGCAGTTGGGGTCTGCGACCGAGCAGCACAACACGGGCCCTCGAAGGTCCTCGTCCAGTCTCGCGTGGTACGCAGACCTGAGCATGCCCTAAAGTGGAACCAGCCAAGGCAGGTGTTGCACTTGACTGATGTCACATTACGGAATATCCTGGTCTGACATACCGTGCAGATTGTGGGAGGAACCACGAGTTGTTGGCGGCGGCGTGTGGGTGGTGGTGCAGCTGTGTGTGTTCTATGGTTTGTCGTGGCTGTGGTATGGTCTGTGGTGTTATTGTGTTGTTGTGCTATGGTGACTGTGTGAGGCTGCTCTGGTGGACTAAGGTTAGCCGTGGAGGCTGCTCTGTTTGAGCATCAGGGGGCCACATATGACGTGGTCCACTGCCGATGTGTCCGTAGTCCTGAGCAGATTCTGAGGTGACACCACCCCTCGCAAGCATTGCACCTGACAGAGGTGGAGTTGTGGTGTAGTCGTCTCCGGCATACACAGCAGGTGTAGGTTTCTGGCCCTGGGTTTGACTCGATGCCAGCCCTGAGTAGGAGAAAACGTAGCGAATGTAGCCCTATGGACGAACAACTTCTGAGATACTTCGCCGCCTTAAACGGGGTTAGATCGCCGAAACAACAGCCCTTGGTCGGGTAAAACCCGAGTCATTCCGGTACGTAGAACCGGCTGTCGTGGGAATGTACCTTTTAGGTAGTGTTATGTGCTTTTATATATATGAAAGTATGTGACAAAAGCACTCTTTGATAAGGAAATCAAGTGGTACGACTTAAGAAATTTTAACAACGAACAACTTATAAACAATTATATTGTTTATATTTTTATACCTTTCATGAGCATGAAATTGTATTATAACTTTGATCCGATGTTTCTAAGTACCAGAATAAGAAAAGATAGACCCATTAAAAGGTATACTTAAATGATTAGAACGTCGGGCTGAGTCGATTTAGCCATGTCCGTCTGTCCGTCTGTCTGTCTGTCCGTCTGTCTGTCTGTCCGTCTGTTTGTATGCAATCTAGTCTCTCAGTTTTCGAGATATCCGGATGAAATTTTGTAGGTGGGTGTATTTTTATATTGTATGAATCATTTGTCGGAACCGGAAGAATCAGACCACTATAACATATAGCTCCCATACAACTGATTGTTCAGATATGAGATTTTTCGTTATAACTTGTCACTCATTATCAAAAGAATATTTTCAATAAAAATGGCGAAGATCGGGTCGCTATAACCTATAGCCTCCATACAACTGTTGGTTCAGATATGAGATTTTTTGAAATAACTTCTCCATTTATGCAGCTATACATTAAAATTCTCACCATTTTAACTTATTATTAACAGATTATTTACAGGGAAAATAATAAAGATCGGGTCACTATAACATATATCTCCCATTCAACTGATTGTTCAGTTATGAGAATTTTCGTTATAACTTCTCGATTTATGCAGCTAGGAACATGAAATTTTGCAGTACTTCCAACTATTATCAACAGAATTCTTACAGTGAAAATAACAAAGATCGGGGCACTTTTACATATAGCTCCCATACAACTGATTGTTCAGATATGAGATTCTTTGCTATAACTTCTCCATATATGCAGCTAGAAACATGATATTTCGCATTGTTTTCACTCATTATCAACAGATAGTTTACAGTGAAATTTACAAAGATCGGGTCACTATAACTTATATATTGCCCCCATACAACTGAGTGTTCAGATATGGGATTTTAATGTAATACTAGGTTCACATATAAGTAGATTATCCTCATTTTCGAGCTTAACTTCCTAATCTGTAATTAGAAGAGATTAGCCATATAGAATTCCTCCCTTGTTAATCTGTAATTATAAAATAATCTCAGATTTAACCGATAACTTTTCGATGTTCATCCTAGTTTTCTCGATTGTTTTTGCGAAGAAGAGGAGAAATGGCAAATGTAAAAGTAAACAAAAATGGACGCTAGCAAGGAAAAGAGGGGTTTAAAGGTATTTTTTAATAAAATAATAAGTTAAAATATATTTATATTGGTTAATATTGCAGAAAAACGTGATCACGGTGGCACAGAGAAGAAACATAAATTTTCCTTGAGTGGTGAGAATAACAAGCACAACAAATTTGACGGCTAATAATCTGAGATTTGCCTGTGTAAACGTGGTGATTAAAAAACGATCTTTGATTGAGATAATATTAGAAGTGTACTCGTACGCCCAACTATCTAAAGTTTTAGAAAACTTCTACTGGTTTTGCGTTCCCGTACCCAAAAAACTTGCAAAGTAGGGGAAATTGAGAGAGCAAAATATGAAAGAGAGCTGCAAATTTCTGCTGGAAAAATTTTTCCCAACTAAAACTTGCAAGTAAGAAAATCAGCTGAGCAAAAACACATGTTTGTAAATAAACAAAAGAAAATATGGCATTTTTGAGTTATTTATTGCAAATTTTATTATAAATGCTAGTATACAACGTGAAAAGTGAGTAAATTTAATATGCACAACGTTTATTGTGTTTATTTATTTTTCGTTAATTTGCTATTAATCTCCACTTTTGTTTACTTAGTGTGTGGTGCCTATGGTAGCCGTATCACATTTTTCGTTTGTACCATAATTTTCCTTTAAATATACCAAAATAGATTTAAATGCACCATGCTGAAATGTTTTGCTGAAGTTTTCGGTTTTGGTAGGTTGATTATTGAAATGAAAAATTTATAATTTCAAAGCTACATCTGTAGCTATATCTATTACATTGTTTTTGGATGAATGATGGGTGTTTGGAAGAGATACTTTTGTTTTTGAATGCGTCACCGGGTGATATCATTATGATAATTATGAGAAAAATAACTTATTCATTCCGATATAATTAATTTGTTTTTTAAAAAGGTTTTTCTTATCGAAAACTATTCAATTGTATACAATGCCAAATCGGGGGAAAATGTACCAAACAGAAAATAAATTGACAAATTAATCACCAGTGGTAACTGTGCAAGTGATCAGCTGTTTCGAAGGTTGCAAGTTTTTGCAAATTTTGCGTTCTCGTACTTCTGTTGATATTTCGTCTCTTTGAGAGCGAATGCTGCTAAATTCTCAGAACTTTTGCTGCTGGAGAATTTTGTCCTTTCAATACGAGTACACACCTATTGACATGTGAACATAGTTTAAAACTAATTTATTTGGACAGCTAAAACCGATTAATTTCGTAAGCTATTGTATAAATAATAATACAAAGTCTACTAAGAAAATCGTCAAAATCTATGCTGTATAAGCTTTATCTCTTATACCACTGATTGTTCCTATACCAGTTTTTGCGATATATCTCCTTAATGTAGGAAGCTAAACCCATTACATTGTGTTACCGGTTTACATACCGCTCACACAGCAGTGAAAATCAGATACGATTTTTTATATATGTAACTCCTCTATGTGAATATATAAATTTTTTCAAATACAGTAATCTCTTAAAGTAAAATTTTCAGATGTTCATGAAAGGTATGAAGCCTTCGGCTTTTACTTGTTTAGTTATACATGTTTTAGAGAATACCTCCCTTAATCATCCTGGCCAAGTTTCATTTGTTAATTCCACCTGGTTTTCTTAAAACAAAAGGTGCGGCTGAATGATAAACCTCACCCTAGCGGTGTATATTTTTCCTCTCTCCTGTAAAATCTTGGTGACCTTAAATACGCGGTTTTGCATTATCGTGATACGTGGTTTTGTACTTTAAAAAACGATAAGTTGATTAGTAATTTTAAATAACGGCTCTTTAAAAAGATTCAAAATAATAACTTGCTACACAAGATCACGGCACACCACGGCTACCAATTTGTGCAACCAACCAAAATATCTTTATGCAACTGCCTCCGACACTTTTCACAATGAATCCACGCTACTCACAGCAAGTCGTCTGCATGTAAGTAAGCATGTTATTTACAAACTTTTGTATTTTTACAATTTAAACACTGCACACTTTACAGAAATGGAACCATATTTTATAATTAGCATCGCAATATACATTATTTCGATCGAAGGGCTTTTGGTAATAGGAATTAGTGATGAAACAATACGAGTAAATACAAGTAAACAAGTACATACTCGATACTTTTCGATGGATACCAATTCCCATGAACCAATTCAATTCGTTCATGACCAATTCCCATATGCAATAATACAAGGTGTTATCGGTTGGCAACTTCTCGTCCTAATTCCGCCATATAGACTGCCTTAAGAGCGAAATACACAACACAAGCGGCTTGACAAACCAAGCGAAATATCCCTTTGTTTCAATCCATTTGTGTTGTCTATGGGGGTGTTTGAAGGTTTGACAAACCGCTTGAGGGAAATTTGAGCAAAAATCAAAATTTTTTGATTTTCAGGCCGCCATGTTGACGTTTGATCAAACCGCTTGCGATGTGGATGGTAAAATCGCCTCATTTGTTGCTGAATTTTCACCAAGTGAGGACGTAAGGGAGAAAAATGGAAGAAAACCAACATTTTTAACATTGTGAACCGGAGGAGAACTAAAATTCTGTGCTTGAATGACTCATGTTTGCATGGTGTATGGCGAAATGGGAAAAGTAGGTTTGACAAGCCGCTTATGTGGTGTATTTCGCTCTTTAGGTGAAAAGGTGTTACTTCTTCAACAATTCTTTGCCTAATAATAGTTGCGTTCCAGATGCTTCACGATATTCACGAAATTCTCCATTAGTAAACCTTATGGGAGGTGGTCACCTGGAACGACTTCCTGTAAAAACCTGCAAATCGTGAAGCATCTGGAACGCAACTAATATAATTGAACATTTTTTATTTTCGGTAATATTCTAGTGTAGGGTAACAACCCCTAAAAAAGGTCGGAAAAGTCGGGAGGGGTACCAAACGACGCGTTTTGGTCCCACTATTAACAATCCGGAGGGGGAAGGCTAATATTATTAACCATTGAAAAGTTATGTACAGAAAACTTGTGTTAAATTTCGTTATTTTCTATGGGCAATTACACCGACAAAGATTCACTAAATCACCTTCCAGAGGGGATGTCCATAGGGACAGGGGCGTTAGCTGAGTGGGATTCTCAGGGCATGTGAAGAGGTGCCGGGAGTCATGTGGCGACTCTCCACATGCCGGGCATTGGTTGGGCACATCCTCGTTGATTCTACTCAGGTAGCTGTTGAGCCTGCTGCAATAGCCAGAGCGAAGTTGGGCTATTGTTGTGCGGGTCTCCCGAGGCAGACAAAGTTCTGTCCCGTCCACGTCCGGTGGTTGTGTGCCTAGAACGGCATTCACAGGGCGGGAGTCTACATAACTTGAGACTGATTCCCTGTGAATGCCGTTGAGGGCCTGTCGGTAGATTGTCGGGTCCAGAGGTTGTTTAATATACCTCTGGACTTCGTCTGTCAGTTCGTAAAGATGCCTCCTGACGTGCCGTGGCGAGGGCTCTTCAGCGAGCAGTTGCCCGCTGGGATAGCCACGTCTGTAGCTCCCAGCGAGGAACTGCTTGCAGAGCATTATGTTATGCTCCTTTACCGGAAGCATCTGGGCCTCGTCATGAAGGTGATGTAGAGGCGTCATCAGGAGGCATCCTGTCGCCGTTCGTAATGCCGTATTTCGGTAGGTCTGCAGCTTCATCCACTGCGTCCTGCTAGTCCCCGGCGACCATACGGGCGCTGCGTAGTTCAGAACCGGCCGGCCAATTGCCTTGTATGTTGCCAACAACGTTTCTTTATCTTTGCCCCAAGTGCTGCCGGCCAGCGACTTGAGGACATTGTTGCGGCTCTGTACTTTGTTGACAATTGCGGTTGTATGCGCCGAGAAGGAGAGCAGACTGTCGAAGGTAACTCCGAGGATTTTCGGGTTATTCACCGTCGGTATTGTTACGTCATCGACGTGAATACCCAGTGGCAGTCTGACCTCCTTCGTCCAGGTGGTGAAAAGGGTTGCCGAGGATTTCGCAGGGGATAGGGCTAGGCTCCTTGCAGTGAAGAAGCGAGAAAGTTCGGAGAGGTAACCGTTTACTTTTGAGCACAAGTCATCAATTCCATTCCCAGACGCCATGATCGAACAATCGTCAGCATATGAGACTATATTAACACCCTCTGGTGGCTGAGGAAGCTTTGATATGTAATAATTAAACAGTAGCGGGGACAGGACACCACCCTGTGGTACCCCCTGTTTAATTTTACGTGGCTTGCTGGTTTTGTCTCTGAAGATTACTGACGAGTGTCGACCACTCAGGTAATTCGCCGACCACCGTTTGAGTCCCTGTGGGAGTGAGGAGGCCTCTATATCTCCTAGTAGCGTTGAATGACTGACAGTGTCGAACGCCTTGGACAGGTCCAACGCTACTAGAATAGTTCTCTCACAGGGGCGGTTTCGGTTTAGGCCACGAGTTATCTGAGTGTTTATGGCGTTAAGTGCTGTTGTTGTACTATGCACTTTACGGAACCCATGTTGATGCTTCGCTGGGGTCAGGTGGTTCGTGAATTACGGGAGCAGCAGGGCCTCGAGTGTCTTCGCTACCGCGGAAAGGAGAGTTATCGGGCGATAAGACTCTCCTTTGTTGGCTGGTTTCCCCGGTTTGAGCAGTGGGACCACTCTCCCCATTTTCCAGATGTCTGGAATGACGAGAGTGGCCATAGACAGGTTGAGGACCTCCGTTAGGTACGCTACTCCCGCAGGACCCAAATTTTTCAGCATCAACATGCATATTCCGTCGGGTCCAATGGCTTTGGAGGCTTTCGCCTTCCCGATGGCTACCCTTACCTCACCGCTGGTGAAAACAAGAGGCGCACTAGATTTTGGCATTTTGTGCAGCCTTCTAGTCACTCGACGTTTGGCTTTATCCACCGGAGGATGCAGAATGAACTGCCGACGAAGCGTGGTCACCAAAGTCTATATCGACTCTGTCGTCGCGCTTCGTCGGGTTGGACAACGACCTCACGGTTGACCAAAGCTTGCTCACACCAGAGGCGAAGTTGCAGGTCTTCAGATGCTCTTCCCATTTCTTCCGCTTATGTACGTTCACAAGTTGCCGAATCTCCGAATTGAGATCCCTAATACGGGGATTTCCGGGATCGGCCTGACGAAGGTTGTCGCGCTCATCAGCTAGAACAGCCGCTTCGGCAGGAAAATTCGGACGTGGATCCTTAATACATCCTGCTGGAATGAAGCGAGCTGCAGCAGCGGTGACAACCTTGCGGAACTTACGCTCACCTACATGAACGTCGGTTGGTATGGGTAGTGCAGTGAAGGCGCCCTCAGTAACATCCGTGAAGCCTTTCCAGTCAGCTTTGGAAAAGTTGATATAGGTCCGGTGATCCACGGAAGCAACGTCGGCAGGTTTATCAATCGAGATGACTATGGGCAGATGGTCTGATGCTAGAGTCAGCATAGGTCGCCATGATATGCTGTTTATCAGTCCAGCGCTGACAATTGTTAGATCTGGCGAGCTGCAGCAGCTGCCCATAATCCTGTTGGGTGCGTCGTCGTTCATTGTGCAGAATGTCGAATCGTCTATCTGCTCAGCCAGATGTATTCCCCTACGATCATTTGACAGGCTGGAGTGCCAGAGATCGTGGTGCGCGTTAAAGTCACCAACTACCATACGGTTTTCGCCTCTGAGTAGCGCACCTATTTCAGGGTGATATCCTGCCGGGCAGCAGGTGACAGGGGGTATGTATACGTTAAATATTTCGGGCTCGACATCGCCTAACCGGATAGCAATACCCTGACATTCAAGGATGGTATCTCTGCGGTCGATGTCTGCTTCAATGAGACGATACTGCACGGTGTGGTGCGTGATGAACGCTAAACCTCCACCATTTTCTCGCTCGCGATCTCGACGGTGCACGTTGTATCCGGCGCAATTCAACAGGGTTGAATTGCCGTGCAACTTCGTCTATTGGACCGCAGCTATTAATATTCCATGCCTTCCCATAAAGACAGTTATCTCCTCGGTCTTGCTCTGGAGTCCGTTACAGTTAAATTGTAGCACCTTTGTGTGCCTTTGGAGACCGATTGTGATGTGTGGTGTTAAAGAGTTGTGTTGCCTGCCGGCCCCCTGCTGTACGTCCTGCAGAAGGGGGTGCTGCCTTGTGGTGGTGGTTGGCGGCGTCGCGGGGGAGGGATGCGACGGGGCAGCACAGCAGGGGCCCACATAGTCGCTCGTCCAATCTCGTGTGTTGCGAAGTCCTGAGCACGCCCGAAAGTGGCACCAGCCGAGGCAAGAGTTGCACTTGACTGATGTAACGTTACGGTATATTCTTGACTGACAGACAGAGCAGATTGTCGGAGGGACTAGGAGTTGCCGGCGGCGGTGTGTGGGTGCTATTGTGTTTGTTTGTGTGTCTATTGCTGTGTTGTGTTGGGGTGTGGGTGTGTTGATTGTGTGCTGCCCAGGCGGGTGATGGTTTGCCGTGGAGGCGGTCCGGTTCGCACAGCATGGGGCCACGAACGACGTGGTCCATTGCCGGTACGTACGCAGGCCCGAGCAGTTACGAAGGTGACTCCACCCGTCACAGGCATTGCACCTGACCGAAGTGGAGTTTGTATGCAGTCGTCTCTGGCATACGCAGTAGGTGTAGATTTCTGGCCCTGGGTTTGACTCTATGCCAGCCCTGAGCAGAAGGGCGCGGAGAAGGTGTAGCCCTAGGATCGAGCAACGTTTGATGGATTTCGCCGACCTAACCGGGGTTATCGCCGACAACAGCCCTTGGTCGGGTAAAACCCGAGTCATTCCGGTACGTAGAACCTCTTCACATGCCCTGAGAATCCCACTCAGCTAACGCCCCTGTCCCTATGGACAGCCCCTCTGGAAGTAGCACACTTCCTGGGCCTCCCCCTATCTGAAATAGACGACAACGATGATGGATGAACCGTCCCGAACGGGGCTTAGTAGCCGCTACAACAACAACAACAACAACTAAATCACCTGTTCTCACTTTTTAAACACTATTAAAATATATAATTTAACTTATTTATTAAACAAACACATAGTTTTATCAACCTAAGATAGATTATTTTGTTATTAAAAAGAAGTTGACAATCTTTGCGAACTGAAAAGCGAGATTCCAAAACAGCTATAGTGCTGCCACTGTATTAGTATTTCGTAATAATTCACTTTTCCT